TATATACCTACTAAAATGAAGGGTAAATACACTTATTTTAAGAAATGATGTACTAATTTCTCAATGGTTTTTGCAGTGCAGCTGTGCTAAAGCTGGGAAACCTCTGAAACCTGCAGGACAGGGGGCCTTGAGGACCGAGTTTGGGGACGCCTGATATAGAGCACCTTTGTAAATGAGAGACATTGGACCCAGAAATGCACCGAGTCCAAAGTAACAAGAGCTTCCTCAACATCCCAGCAGAACCACAGGCTGATCGCCTCCATTTCCAGCTGGATTATAGCAGAAGCTTAGAGGATGAAAGTTCTATAAGGTACGATCAAAACCTTTAAGTCATATCTTTAGTTACTGTTTGTTTTTATTTTTTCTGAGAAACTGAATTCTGGGTTTTATTAGCGCCCATCAAAAATGATCTGAAATAAATGTCCAAAACTGGAAAAAAACCCAGATATTTTTCATGTGTTTGAGGATCTCACCAAACATTTTTGTCTATGATCACATTAACCTTACCTGTAGTGAAGGGTCCACCTCCATCCGATCGAAGCCAGATAGCCGACCTCTGCTCGTGCAACTCACAATTCTATCCTCATAACACCTACAGGGAAACGTTTCAAATATTTCATTCAAATAAGTATAAAAAGGGTTGAAACAGTAACTGCATACATGAGCCAAAATAAATATGACCTGTCAACAGAATCTAAACACGGGTAAGAATACAAAGTGATAGAATAAAGATGGAAATACAGAAAATTAGAAAACATGATCTTGCTGCTTAAATCACATATATAAACAGGGATTAATTAATGCAAAAAATGATAATAGGAAGCTTTTAGAGAGTAAGAATAAAAGCATAAAATAAAATCTATCAGCATGTCATCGGCGGCATAATTTACCTGCTCCAATTGAAATGTTGTTCCAGACAGTTAGAGAGAACATTTTCACAAAGCTCTTTAAAACAGAAAGAAAATAGGAAGAAGTCAGAAGTTTACAAATGAAACAAAAATCACAGCCGAATAAACTGATTTATGAAAATAAAATAATTTCCCAAATGAGAAGAACATAGTCTACAGAAGTTAGCTGCGGGTTTTACGACCATCATCATCTTAGAAAAACTAATTGCAAAAATTGTTGGAAATATATAGGA